GAACAAACACCCTGTACAGTTCAATGCCTCCACCTTTCGCTATGGTTAAAAAACGACTTCGTGAGAATTGCACCAAATTTCGTTTTGTTAAGGCTCGATGTAGCAAACAGTGTCAAATGAACCTGCTGCTTAAGTGAATCCTTTAAAGGTTGCGTTCGTTCACTTTAAGGAAAGTTTTTAGAGTTTCTAAGACGTAAAAAATAACTAGGGAAAAAAAACCGTAGTTCCAGAGTTCAGAAACCGATATGGCGTAAGACCTGTAATTATAGCAAGCTGATCACCGTACAATAACTGGAAGTATACGCTGCCGTCAATCCACTCATGTCGTTACTGTGTTTTCTCTTGATATTTACGGATAAATTGTCTCTTCTGTAATCTTAACTGTCTTAATTTGAATAGGACGTTTTTGATTTATTAAAAAAAGGAAGTTTGAATTGCTGTCCTTCTATATTTCAATACTGCTTAATATATTTGCCCCTCAACTGGATATTGTACAGCAATATCATATTTGATACAGCACAAAACGGAAGGCCCCTTGTTTTCCAATATTTCCGCAGTGTTTTTTTTCTTTCTTTTTTATTATTCGTACAGTATTGCTTTTCAATACTAAGGGATTTGTAATGTATTCAGAAACCTAAACTTCTGCGAATCTTCATCAAAAATTTTGAAAATAATGTTACGTAACATTTTTCTTGTTACTTCAGGATGTTAGGAAAAGTGGCTACGGTTCCTCCATAAATAAACAAATAAAAAACAAATTTGAAACATTTTCCTTCGTTGTTCATCTTATCACCGAGTTCTTTTCATTTCGCAGCTAGATATTTTTAGGTAATTGTAACATTTTCAATTTCGTAACGAAACAATCGATAGGTTTCAAATTCAGAAAGACCGCATTCCGGCTGAGTTCAATTATCTCTTACGTTGCAATTTTTTTAACATTCTATTTTGAAAATTAGTTTGTCTCATTTTCTATTCCTCGTTTCAAGTGTATTACTATTCAAAGGTACTACGTACTTTGTAAGATTTCCTATTTTCTTTTATTCATATTTGAATTTTTTCTGGATGAATAAAAAGCCTCTTCTGTCTTTGACGTTTCAGTCGTAGGAGTAGATTCAAATATCGCTTAAATATCAGACGCAAAGTCGCCGGAAGGCCCTGTGATTTTTTTGGAAAAACTAGGAGAGAATAGCATCCGTGAATCTTATGTTGGTTTATTTCCAATACAATTTCCTTTTCTGTCGACTTTTTGTTATCTAGACTTGTCATTCAATCATTTTGTCACAGAGTAAAATTATTGAATATTGCTGGCGAAAGAATTCTCAGAGAAACAGAAGTTTCCCGTTTGAGAAAAAGGTACGGTAATCTCTTGAACTCAAGCAAAAGATCACACAAATTTCAAAAACTCAATCTTTCCACTAGGCATAGGATTCCGTTGGCGGAAACTTTGGAGAGGGCGTGCTGTTCCGTTTCAACTCAGCCCTTTGTAAATGTTTCGTTTTGTTTTCAGCTCTGTCCCTAGTGACCGAAGCAGATTATCCCGACAAGTTGAAGATTGTTTTCCGGTTGTAGCACGTAGTGCCTCGCGCGCCATTGAGGCAACAACGTGAGCTTAAGGTCGTCTGAGGAGCTTTTTCCTTTTGTTCACTGCCTCTTACGCGAAAAAGCTTCAGGAAAGGAAAAAATTTAAAAACTGATATTTTTGTTCGGTTCATTCGCCTTTAAATCTGTGGGAATAATGTGCGAACGATTTTCGGTTTGATCTTCTACTCTACTACTGGTATTTTCCACCATTTTCAGTGTTAACTGCGAAATCTCGATTTCATCAATATTTCTGTCGAAGGAATTCTTCGAAATGCAGTTTTTAGGATATCTATTTTTATCCGTACCGGCTCTCTTCCGCCTGGAAATAGAACTTGTCACGCTTTAGGAAGAAAATATCTCTTTTTCTATCTGTATTGGGCTTCCACAAATCCTCCGAAATGAGAAAGGCAAGCATACTTTACTTTTTTCATTCACATTTTTTAAACTTTTGTACGTAAGTTTTTTAATTCCAAGTGCAAAGTCTATCTCTACATTCCATTTGAAGAGGCTTTTTTATTCACACTGTATTTAACTGGCAGTGAACTGAAATAAAAGGGAAACAGCTTGGAAGAAACAACTAAAGAAATGAACAGAAAAAAAAAACAAAACAGGACTAAATGAAGACCGAAAACTGTTTTACTCGGACACTCAATTCCTAGCAATTATAAGAATCCTTTTTTGCCTCCGGCTAGTTCTGCTTAACAATACTATATGTGTTTTCATACCCGAGTGAGAACAAATAACGCTAATAATTTTGAAAATAACTCCGTATCAATTTGACCTTGAGTATTTCTTTACAAACAATATGAATGACTGACTCACTGACTGTGTGATAACGTGTTGCCATTGGCGTTTGTTTACTGGAAACTTGATGTTCTATTTATCAAAGTTTGAAATTCAGCCAATTTCATTGAAACGGGGTTACAGAACCACCAGTGCTGATATCTAAAATGTATGCTCTTTTTTTTATTATTTTCCTTTACGTATCATTGTCGTTTAGACGGAGATACGCGATTGAAACTCATCGAACTGAAAAAATTTAGTGGGAGCCCTCTCGTAGCAGTGGAACAGATAGAATTGCAATTGAATTAGTATTTCTTCGCTATTCCGTTATAATTTCCGCACGTGGTTTTCTGTAAACCGATAAGTGTTTTGACTGATTTGACGTCGAAAAGCCACAGATGTGGAGAGAGAAAACAACAAAGAAGTAATCTAAATTTTCAACGCGGTTTGTTATGTGTTTTGAATTCCTTTATTCCAAGAAATTTGGTTAAGAAAGATTTGTGTTCCTTTAATTTTACGTCATGATTCAAATCGACCAGCGACGTTAATAGCTTAAATTTATTTATCCTGTAGTGCGACTTGATCAAAATTTAATGTAACGGCGGAAATTTGCCCGTTCTCTGTTCAGCTGGCGATTGCACTGCACGAGGTCAAAAAAACATGCCCTCAGTTATAGCGTATATATGCAAAGTTTTGCGCAACATTGCCAGTGTGGTTTGGCGGCCGAAACTTTTTCCACCTCATCAGTAAAAGAATGAAAAACGACTTCACGTCAAGGTAAAACAAAAAGAAATTCCGAAAAGGAAGGCTGTATTACGACCCAAATGCACGCAACACCAACGCTCTGTGGTGAACAATAGAACAAAATTACTTCTGAGTTGATCATTCGCAATTTTCCAACGGAAATATTAGTGATCTTGAATTATACGCATTGGTTTCTAATTCCACCATTGTTCGTGATTAATAGCCCTGTTAAGACATAGCAAAAGTCAAAGGAAAAAAGTCGACTCAATCATTTCCTTACTCTACATCGCCATCTTACCGCTTGCTCGAATGTTTTATTTATTTCCCTCAACTGATAGGATCGTTCGTGATATTCGAAAACTCTAGAAAGATCAAGATGAATCAGTGAGTCAGCAGAGTAGCGTTCGACGTTTGCAAGCGTACGTGATCTCTATAGAGCTCTGTCATTTTCACGTAATAGCCGAGTTATATTTCTATAGAACTCTCCTGACCTTTCGCGAATATTCGTGGCTGCGCAACTGCACGTTCGGCAATACTGTTACAACTCAAGAGGGCGTTTTATCCGTAGCTTTCTGCTCGTAATGTCCTATTTCTGAGCTTTAGGATAAACAAACCGAAACGGGAAATTAATTTAAAAGACCCAAGAAGACTGCTATTTACCATTTCCTCGAAACCCTTCAAACAACAACTTTGAAATTCATATAGACTGTGTGCCCGGAATCACGGTCAGTGGACATGTCACAGACGAGTTAACATTATCAATAACGTCGTTTGCATTCTTGGCAAAACAACACAATCTTTAATTTGGTTATTTTTTTCTTTCAAAATAACACGACCTCTCTTTGTGTTTGATTCGTCCAGAAGTTTAGTATTTGGGTTCCATGTTCTCAAAATAAATTGCCTTTCCGTTTTGGTCGCAAGAGGTTTTTATAACATAAACCCAGAAAGTTAAAAAAAAAAAAAATTCATCATAACACGTACACTATTGCTCAAATTTGAAAAGAGGTGTGTGAATAAAGAGCGGATAAGAAATGTGTGTAAGAAAGACTTACATGTCACTCACTTATCAAGTAGAATTATCTAACTCCGTAGCTTGAGGTGAGCATGTTTAGTTAGGTTGCGCGCCAAAAAATCGAATCATGAATTTCGCGGCGGCATTAATCACGAAATCAGCCAAGCGCAATAGATTTCATTCATTGAGAGTAATTTGGCGGTAAATTGTTAAAGCGACACACCCTGTCCCATGGGAGCATAAACACAAAAGCTTGATTAGCAAATGAAAGGTATTTTGAAATGACAAATAACAAGCCTCCGTGACGTGTAAGATTAAAGAGTACGGCACAGCACATTCTACCACGTACTCTCGTGCCTCATCATGTGTCTGATTATTGTCTCAAGTGACGCTCTAAAATCCCAATTACATTTCCTAGTCTCATTTGTTTCGGAATACCCAGTCTACAACGCAAGAAAATAATTATATTTTTGCCATCGCACGCTTAGATAATAACCCGATTGTCAGATTACACATTTGACCCTTTCAAAGGCTTATTTGTTCTTCATATTCTGTTACAATCCCTTGAGAGCTTTCTTGATCATCAAGTTTTAGATCAAATAGCAAATTTAATTTGTCTTTAGGTCATCTTTCATAGTAGAAAACTTCTGGAGAAAATTACGAGGATAGAATATTCGTGTAAATCGCACTCTTGGTGCGTTGAACGCTGTTTTTATGGGAAGAGTTTGCTTTGTGGCGATAGAGAGTTTACCTTTACAAATTTGGGTTGCGATCATATGATGCCGGTGTTTATCTTTTCTTACACAGGCTGAGGCTTTATCGAGAAATGCGGACGTGATTGGATGGCAGTGACAATCTCGATATTGTCCATTTGATAATCGTAAGAAGAGAATGAGACAAGAGGTTACGACCCCTTGCTTACGTCATCTAGGTGTGTCTGCGTAGGCGTGAAAGGAACACTCCAGGGATTGATTGTTTTTCAAGTGCCCGCGCGCTGATTGGCCTGTTGTGTCACAAACATTTACCACCTATCGTTAACCTGTCAATGTGAGGCCCACCTCTTCTCGCACAATTTAGACACTTGATGTATAAAGCTGAGCGCCACGGCACTGGAACGTCAGTTGAATTAAAACTTGAATAGAGCTCAGGCTTTACCGTAGAGAGTTGAATTTTCGAACGGATATTGGTTTGTTTCAAATCATCGCCTTCACCGGAACATCTATAAAACTTACAACTGACGATCTGTGGAAGTGCTCTAAATTTTTTTTATCAAGTTCTTCGAGCCAGCCAGCTTCGAAGGATTTATTTTATACATTCCGATACTCGCGATTTTAAACGATCGACTCGTCTTGTTGCCAAAGACTTTACATTCCTCTTCAAATCACTACTAAGATACACACGGTGAGTATTACTTCGAACTGACTAACTTGACGCATGAGAACTTGAAATTAAATCACTGGATCACTGTAGCATTCTTTGGTTACTTATGATTCAGTTAACTTTGATTTACCTAATTTTTCTCTGTGCGCATTTGTTGTTGTTTTAGATTCATAACACCATGTACGGACTAAGCAGTGAACACAACGTTGTACCCGACCCATCAGTTTATGCCCAGGTTGGTTAACGCTCCTTTGGTATGACTTAACTAATTATATCTTGCATCACTGGTGCCCTATTCGATTCTAACGTGAGGTGTGAAAACTTTTGTTTAAGTTTTTACCGGTAGGCGGAAAGTTTGCATTTCGGATATTTTTCCCTATTTTTATTATTTGGTATGATATTAAAGGACTGCTGAAGTTTAGCAATATCTTTGAAAACATGAAATAGTTCAGTTCACCGTAAATCTCTGCTCCGTGTGAAGGAATGCCGCACTAATTGTTTGCTTTAAATGTGTTAATGTCTTGCTTAATGTGGCTTGGTAGGACTTGACTTTCCGATTCGCCAAATTGTTAATACCGAGCCTCGCGCTCGAAAGATTTTTGTATGGCATGTCTTAGGTTAGGAGCATGTTTTAATTTTGCGTGAATTGAAGACTGAGAAAACCGACTAGCGCTTTCAAAACTTAGGATGACGAAGGAGTTGTTGCGGTTGAGAAGACGGCATTGTTCCGTTAGCATTACGTTGAAACAAGAATTAAAACTCTTGTAGTATCAGCCAGTCTGAATCCTTTTCACAACAAAACGTAAGTTAGGAAAAAGGACTAAACATTCTCACCATCTTCACGATGCACAACACTTTTTAATAAAAACAGCTTTCATCATTGTTTATCTCTACCATTCTAGTCTGGTAATAACTTTTTTTTCGGCGGCGCTGGTTTTGTTTGTAAATCTATGAATCATTTGATGCTTGTTTTCATTATATCTTCTGTGCTTTCATCTTTTTAGGAGTTGATTTCAGATGATCAATCGCTCTTCGATTCCTCATTCAATGACCCCTACAAGCCGCTGAAACCAGCGCACAAAAGCGATGGCAATTACTTCAACAAAAAGCGACCTTTAGAGGCTGAACTGGACGAGCCACTCGCTAAAAGACCTTATGTACCAAACAACGACTTCGCCGAGAGAAACTCGCCCTCCCCTCTCCCACAAAATTTATCGCACGAGAAGCGAGTCATCGTGCCAGCTGGTGAGTTTAAGCACATTCAACATGTCAAATTTTGTCTGAGAGTTCTCGACACTACGACACACCCAGAGATCGTGTGTCATTGATAGATCGGCTGAAACATGCCTCGGCTCGTATTTCACCCACAACTCTCTACCTTTGGGTCTCTGGGAACTATTTGCTGCTAAATAAACCGCACCCCTGTTATGTGTCTTAATGACCCCGACATGGCGTATGTGACTGGAAATCAGGCGATTATGCTTTAACCACAGAACATCGTAATTTTAGCGATAAGGCTTCAGGCACGAAATGGGTTATGAAATCTTTTGGCTTTCGAAACAAAACTTGAATTTCAACTATTCAGAGATAATGTTCAAGATCAGCATCAACCGGAAGAGTCAAATATAGAGAGCCTAATTTTGAGAATAAACGGAACTTTCCTGCTGAGAGATTTGGGATGCCTTTTTTTACTTAACTATGGGTATTTAGGCCGAAAGATGTGTTTTGATAATTTGAAGTTAATTATATTCTCACTGAAAGGTTCTTTTCTTCTCTCAGAGAAAGCTTACCTTTTAACCATTTTGTTTATTGCTGAAAAAAAAATGACAAACATTCCTAATATAGGCCTTGGGCATGAGTTTGCCGGCAAAGAATTATCAATTGGGAATTATCTTGAAGATTTAAAGGATGAAACCTCATAAAAGAAACCGCTACTCGAGGGATTGAGCGAATGTTAGAAATGCGCTTTAGAATATGCCTGTTGTTTACTATCTAGCGCCGAATTGGTGGGATTATAGCGCTAAATCTTTATTTCTTTATTTTTCCTTCGTTAAGACCCTCTGTGCTGGACTAAAGAACATGTACGGCAGTGGATACAGTGGGCAATTAAAGAATTTAGTCTTAAAGACATCGATTCTGAAAGGTTTAACATGGATGGCAAGGAACTTTGCAAGTTGACAAGAGAAGGTTTCATGAAGCTAGCTCCAGCATACAATGGAGATATTTTGATGGCACATCTGTGTGTGTTGAGAAAAAGTAAGTGAATGCCTCACTAACAGTTGATTCTTTTGCGGTCCTAAATCAGTTTGAAAAAAAAAACAATAGAAAAAAAGACTATTAAGAGACCACAGGGTACAGTCCCTTGAATGAATTTATTTATCATGTTCAATGAAAGCACTTAGATTTTGCGCTGTGGGTGGAAGATCGTCAATTAGATTATTTTTTAAATCCTATTTGGCCATAGGCGTGCGTTTGAAAATGGATACATAGACTAACTCCATGAAACATGCACGCAAGGCACTAAATAGGTTAAATACTTTTGCTCTTTTCTGTGGCAAAAATATATTTTGTAACTTTGGTTTACAAAGTACTTATCAATTATTTCTTATTTTCTTTTAGCTCCTCTTCCAAATTTGACATCTGATGACATCGATAACGCACTCGCCCCCGCATCGTCTCAAGGTAATTGAACAATCTTTGTATTATTTTGAATCCTTATATATATCTTATCCATAATCTTTGGAGTGTTATTTTAACAAGCCCGTTCCCCCGTGAAGATCTTGACTGCGAAAACCCGAGTTGATACCTAAAGTTTAATTTAAACCTTTTCAGATAGGCTTTATTTGACCAACGGAGTAGGCAAATAATCAACTAATCAGGTTTCTAACCGTGTTCTTTATCTTCTCTTCAGCTTCCTACCACGCCCCTTCTCCGCCACTTTTTGATTCAAGACAGCACCCAGTTATCACTAGCAATCCTTCTGTGGCCAGAAGCTCAGAGCATGGACTTCCAGGAAGATTCACCTCAAATGGTTAGTTGACTACCACGGAATTTTTTATTTTCGTTGTAACAGAACAAACTAACAACTAACAAGGAATTGTGTTATTTATAAAAAAAATGTTTGTCTCTTTGATACCCTGTATTTATTCCTTAATTGTTTTTGTTACTGTAGATTCCATGGACAGAAGCACACCCTCTTGGTCAACACCATCCTCGACAGCAAGACTGTCGCACATGAAAGACAGCGTTGTTCCATCCAGACCATTGTCTGTACCAGAATCGCAGTCACTCCAGAGCTCTTTCTCTAATGCCAGCGTTGGAAACCGCGCCGAACCCGCAAGTACGGGTAGCGGTCAGATTCAGTTATGGCAGTTCCTTCTCGAACTCCTGTCGGACCCGAAGAACTCGACTTGTATCGCTTGGGAAGGCGCGAATGGTGAATTCAAGCTCGTAGATCCAGACGAGGTTGCCCGAAAATGGGGCGAGCGTAAGAACAAACCGAACATGAATTACGACAAGCTAAGCCGAGCTCTGCGATACTACTACGACAAAAACATCATGACGAAGATCCATGGCAAGAGATACGCTTACAAGTTCGACTTTCAGGGATTGGCTCAACTCAATCAGCCAATTACCTCAGACGCTCAAGCACATGCACAAGCCGCCTACAAATTCCCAGGTTCTGACTTTTACGCTGGCTTCCCCGCCGCTTCATCGTTGTTCTCCCACCCAGCCGCTAACAGCTGCTACCCAATGTCTTACTGGGCACGAGCACCACCCGCTTACCCACAGTCAAGACCCATGTATGGACCTCCGCTTGGCGCCGGAATGACATACTACGCTTAGAATCTACGTGAAAATAAAGGAACTTCATAGATAAAATGACTTTTTCTGCTTCGAATTTGCAGAAGAGGATTTCGACATTCCTTAGAGGAATAATTTTGTCAACCAAAGTGCTATTTATTTATAGAAGAAAAAAGACAGAAGCTTGTAATTCGTTTCTGAACAAAAATCTTAAGACCAAATGTAGGGACCATGATAAATCTTTTATTAAAAAAAATCAGAACACACTTCCTTGAGTTGCAGCCACCCAATATTAGGGTGATACTGCTAGTTTTGTTACAGAAAGCCTTCTTTTCAAATACACCTTGGCATGGTATGTTTGAAACAGATTCTTATGTACAGTTTCTGTAAATATCAAATAACAGTCAGTTAGGTAATGTTCAAGTTAGTCCATTACATTTACGTTGATGTTCGAAAGGAAACAGTGACTGTATATTTTAAGAGGAATGCAAACTGCATAAAATATTTATGACACAAGAAACGTTTTATAAATAATATTGTATATTTGCTTATGCGGAGATCTTTATAAATTGTCAGAGAAAACAAAATAGATAATTTATAATATTTTACAATTTTTGTACACGACTTGAAATGTCGCATAATTTGGTGAGAAGGAAGACAACCACATTGTTGGATGTAAATAAAAGAAATATGTTTTTATTTCCTTTATAAAGCGTATTTCTCCTATCTATTTGACAGCTGTACACGTAGAAATAATTAAGGGTACAAAGAGAGAGCAAAATAGCTTCCAGAACTACCATTTCACCTTTCTGTGCCAAGAAGTGAATATGCCTATTTCTCCCAGCTGTCACGGACTAGAGATAACCTTCTTTATTTATTAAGAAAAATGAAACACTCTAGTCCAGGTCGTCCTGCAACTAAGTCGGTAGAGTTCTTATGGAAGGAACGAAGACCTTGCTCCAAAACCGAAAATACGTCAAGCGAGCGTCAGCTGTTCATCTGATTTATTTCATCATTTTCGTCAATAAGCTTGGTTCCCGTTGCGAAATTTCTTACGATGTGCGTGGTTGAAGAATTTTATTCTGATCACTGTTATTCTCATTATTGGCAAACACGTTGAAACAAATACTGAAAAGACTAAAATGGGTGTCGTGTCGGCAAATCCACAAAGGTAACCAAAACGAAAGAGTAAATCGTAATCTTCATAATGATAGTAACAACGATTATATTTTATAAAAAATGATTATGGTCACAGTCATAATATTAATGATGATGATAAACTCAACGGGAGCCGCAAAAGGTTTGCTTCCCTCTCGAGAGCTAAACTGAGCAAAATTGTTCATCAATGCTGTATTATAGGCGACAAAGCACTCCGTTCTACCTAAATATATGATTTCCACTGAAAGGAACTCCCCACCCACTAATCAGATGCAGACTGAAAATAACTAGGAACCATGTGGAAAACATAAGCTGGGAGGTAGATCATTACCACAAGAAGCGTTTTGCTCAAGTCCGGTAGCTATGCTTTTCAAGGTCTGGTATGTAGTAGCTGACGTTGCAGATTATATAGCCGGCTATAAAAACAAGTAATTAGACCTTTGGGGTACACAAATGCCAGCACTTGCGGTCAGAAGAAAATGGTTTTTCATAGCGACTGTCATTCACAGTTAGTTTAGCGATTTTTGTCTCTAGCCGCCTCTCTGCCTTATTTTTTCTTGAAAAGCATGATTAAGATACAGTGCTTCGGTACTCTTGAAATGGGCTAGATGTAACATGCAGGTACAGTGGCTTAACCCTCCGACTCCTGGAGGCATTAAGCTGTCACTTCTCCCCACAAAATCCATACATTATCCAGAAAATTATGGGAATACTCTAACTTATCAGGAAGAAGTTGCTTTCTTGATCTAACAACAAACTCTCTAAGCTAATTTAAAAGGAGATGAGTTGCACCTACAAGAAGGAAGAATTAACATCAGATCTTGGGGTTAAAGGGTTTTTAAATATCTTAAAGTTAAATGCGTTTTGTGGCGTTCTTGATTGGTTATCTGTTGAATTACTCAGGAAAGTTTTAAAACTGTTTCAGGCAATTCCTTTGACGGCAGACGCAGGCTGCCATATTTGTGAAGTCCTTTGAGGGCGGTGAACGAAAGAGTAGACCTGGCAAGTGGTGGGATGTACAGATTGGGCCAAGGTATTGAGTCACGCGGCGATGTCTTACAAGCAGTATTCTACCGGTTGGAAAATTTTATCATTTCCCGCTGAATTTTTTATGGTGCTGAGAGGTCCATGAGTTGTTCAAAAAAAAAAAAAGCCGAAGTTGACTTCGGTTCCTAACTTGTGCGAGGTTAACCCATGGACTCCTCAAAATACTTTCATAGCAGAATAATCATTCTTACGGAAGACGCACCTTCTAAAGGTTAAAACGAACAATGAACAATTATGATATCCTAGCCTTCAGTTTATTCATTCAGTTGTAACAATATCTCAGAGCAAAAGTACCGCTTTGGCTCCATATCATTCTAAGGTAGTCTATTCACCAAATTAAACGAGGTGAAAAATACTCCAACTCCAAACACTAGCTAGTGTAGGTCAATACTGCTCGCCAATCTCAGACACTGTTTTCACAGGGTAAACTATCGCGGAGTTACGAAGCCAATCAATAGACCACAGGTATACCGACCGCAGAAAAACATTCATCAGCAAAACTATTTTATGTATTTATGGCAAATATGTTTTGATCACGTCCACTTGCTCTCCGTTCTTTACTTCAAAATCTTAACAACGTGTGAGATGCAAACCATTAAAAACTAATGATAATGTGATATCCAAGGAATTTTCGAGAAAAATAAAATTCCGCGTCCCTCACATTTTTCTCGCAGTTGTGCGTTCCCGCATATTTACCCTGCGTTCTTGCGGGAAAAATTGGAAATCTGTGGCACGGCAATGTAAAGGAAATAGGGAACGCTTAACGTAAAAGGTCAAATGAATCAATTGTGATCAGATTCCTTGCTCTATTAAATAATTTTGGTAGTTTACGGAAAGGCAATTTCGCACTTAAAATCGAAACAATAAAAACCAGTCGTCTATTGCTACTCGTGGATTGTCATTTTTACACCGCCAATAAAAGGATCTTCCATTTCTGTCGCTTCAATTCTGGTGTCTCCTCGCAAGGGTGAACATGGAGACAGAGCTTTGATGGATTACACAGAAGTTCATCTTGGCTTAGACCCTTAGGCACTACACAAGTGTACATCAGATACGAGGCACAGTCTTTTTCGTCACTGATTAAAAATTATGTTTACTTTTAACCGAAGATCAAGAAACCCAACTTGAACGACAAAGTCGTGCGATAGGCCCCACCGTTTCCGTCTTTGGGAGAGATTGAAAACTAACCAATCACAGCGGTGAATGATGGCAAATAAAATGACACTCACGAAGTGATTAGATGCAGTTGAAACTTCGCGATCTTTTTTATAAGTTACTAAAAAGACAAACGATGAAACTGATTGTACATAGCTTCAAAGCGATGAGTAATCAAGGCTTTCTAGCGACAATAAAAGACTTTTGAACGATCGCTGGCATGAATTTTTAGACAAAAATAATACGACAGTAACACTTTGCATTTAACCCTTTAACTCCCATGAGTGATCAAGACAGAATTTCTCCTTACAATATCAATACGATATTAAGCAGACAAGTGATGAGAATAAAGAAAAATATTAATTAGGGGATTATTAGTTGAACAAATACCAAATTCTCCAAACTAGCATCACAAGAAGTATATGGCAGACAGTAAGGAGAATTTCTAATGAGATCTTGGGAGTTAAAGGGTTAAGGGAATATATCTAAGTCCTATATTTTAACTGAGTAATGAAGATTTTGACAGAAATGAGAAACATCATCGATCCTGGAGACGCAACCTTTTCTGCGTCAATTTTCACAAACACTTTTAGGTATAACTTCGATGAATAAAGGGGGTAAGTTTTTAAAGAAGCTCTGGTTTTGCGTCGTTGGGGGAGGAGGGGAGTTATTACAAGACGATTTGGTTTTATCAATTGAGTTGAGGATGTATATTGGCCACCGTAAGGGTTGTTACAGCTGACATATCGAGCATTAGCCCTTCGTCAGAGCCACTTTTAGCTGCGATTATTTGTTTTCCTTTAAAGAACACATTGTTTCGATTGTTATCAATAGTTCAGATTTGTCTCAGTCTGACGTAAGTTTAAACGAAAATTGGGGCTTGGCTGCTAAATATATATCAGAGCTTCTCCTTCAACTTCCGTTTGCTATAAAATAGATAAACTTTTATGTTTCATCAACGCGCCAAGAATCCTCAAGGATCATAAAAGAAAAAACAGTAAGAAAAGTGAAGCAGATCAACGCTTGCCCCATTGTGATGTACGAGAGGACATGTTTTGTTAACTTTGTTATTCTTAACCAAACTTTCTCACGATATTCATGAACTATATTTCAAAGTAATAGTTTTGTCTCAGAGTGCTTGAGTAGAGCTCAAATAGTCTTCCCTCGTGCATTATCAGTCATTTTGTCAAGACAAAACTTTGCTTCGCAATGATTTTCTCTCATGCCCCTACTTTCTGTGTTTATGTCAAGGAACTTCTTGCGAACGTGAGTTTAGGCACATGATTGCTGAAAACAACCCTTCATTGTCTTCAATTTTAAATGCACTCTGTATATTTATTAGGTACACGTTTTGAATACAAGCTGACTCTTCAGTAAATGGACTCTTAAAAAACTGCACTTGAAAATAATGGACGGCTATAGAAAAGAGCATGCACTTAAAAAACCCCTTCCTCATTGGATCAGTTTAGGATTAGTTTAACCTCAACACCCGATATACGAGCCGTCATGTTGGACCGAATTACCTCAAAAATAAAGCTGACTGAAAAACATACAAATGAACTCGATAATATTCGGAAGTACTCGTCCTGAAATTAGAAGCTCGTCAATCACAAGTCCCTACCCTATCACAAGTCCCCACCCTCCCCCCCCCTTCACCTTCCCTCCCAACTTCCAGCCTATCCCTTCCTCCTCTGAGAGTTCGCTGGTGTCTAGTGGGAAAATACACTGGTTCTCATCAGTAGTTCTACATGTAACTTGTACTGCCCACAAGGGCATTAAAGTTAATTGCGCTAAACGGCAGGTACGTGACCTGATCTGGTGTATATTTTTAAAGATATTGTTTTTAAGTAGTTTGATAAGTACTGTTATAAAAAAAAAAGGCATGATATTTGACTACTGTATAGTACGTGCAAGTCTTCAGCACTGCCACACTCAGACAACTGAAGTGGTTATTGAAAATTAAATTTAGTAGTCTCTGAAGGGTTGGGCCAGAGTTCCTATAAAAAGAATTTGGAGTGATTTTAGTGTTGCCTTCCAAAAGATCATTTTCCTTGTAATCCATTTTAGTATTAAAAACGGAAAGACGCTCGTGAGTAACAATAAAAGCCTTATAAGTCAGTTTTTGCGTAACAAGAAGTTTGCTACCATTTTATACAATGGTTGTTGGTATGTTAGCGGTGCGTTCCAAAGTAAATTGAAATATATAACATATGTGGGTGTTTTTGAGCAACATGAAAAATTGCATTGTACTGCAAAATATTCAAACACTCTTAAAGAAATGAAATGCACTCGAATATCAGTTTTTGCCTCCAGAAGAGGCGTTCAATTTTTTTCCTTGAGTAACTGG